GCGCAGCTCCGGGAATTTCCACCCCGGGCTCCTTTCCTTTCCAATTCGCAAGTGAACCAGCCCCCACACTCACTGTAGCGCTGTACGTCCTCGCCAAGTGAATTGATTCCTCAAAAGCAAAATAGTACCAAACTCTCGCAATTCCCCGTGCCATCGGCAGAAAAACTGGTTTTAATTACCAAAACTGAAATAGCGGCGGTGCTAACTAGCAGGCGATCAAACCGCAATCAAACTTAAATCTCTGAGCAGTTAGCTATAAACTGTCAGCAATTGAAAAGTAAACCTGGTGCACACAAAGGCTCTGTTTAATTTTCTTGTTGTAATGGCTCTAAATGAGGACCCCATCACTATGCAGTTAAGCGGTGTTGCTTGTCCCCCTGAGGCGCTGATCAGTTCTTTTTAATGTGAGAAAACTGGCAGCTCGAAGCCCGTCAATGGAGCTCCCACAACAAAAGTCCTGAAAAGCTGAATGAATTGGGTTTGTAATTACTGCTTCCCTCTCCCCCCCTTGCAGCTTATCTCTTATTCATTCAACATACATTATTGTCACCTAATCGCACACTCCCAACATTATTTTGGAATTTTTTGCCCCCCCCTTTTTTTTTTTTTTTTTTTTTTTTTGGTATCTACTACTACGGACATGTTTGTTGTAGAAATTAAACAAAATAATCCTCCCTTCTCTATCCCCTCCTCACCAAGAAAAATGTTGAAGCGACAGTGTCAGGCAAGGCTGACTGGCGTTAAAAAAAGCAAAGACGAAGCTCTTCTGCCATCAGAATGTCAGCATTTTGCATATATCCTCGGAAATCCCACAACCACCGAGGCAGGTTTTACGTTTTAGTATTTGAGTTAGATCAGGATTTAAATGACTGAAGTGTATCTAATCACACCTATCAGTAATGGGCCTCTTTCTTTCAGTGGGACTTACATTATATACTACTTAAATTGCTGGGCTATCTACCTCCTATTCGGAGGCAGATATCCAGCTCTGCTGCCCGTTGGGGACGAGGAGGAATTAATACAAAGAGAAAACGCTCTGCTGTGGGGATCACCGTCACCCCTGATGTCCCACACGGCACCAGTGGGCATCTCAAGGAATCAAAATGTGGTTTCGGCCAAGAAATGTCTGTCGGCAAGCGAGAGCCACGGGCTGGAGCTGGGACCGCGAGGCAGAGCCTCTGCCCAGATCCCCCACCGCAAGAAGCTGTCGGTTGCAGAAATAAGTACAGCTATTACAACCAAATCTACTAACAGTCTAAATAATTAATTGAACCATTGCTCTTTGACCCTTGGAAAGTCCAGTAGGGACCCGTTTGTAGTAATAATACCCCCGAATGAGCCCTTGTCAAATATTCATTTAGTGGTTAATGTGAGCGATTTCCCCCTGGGACAGTCTGTAATACCAGCTTCCCAGCTTTGGCAAGAAACCCTGCTAATCTACCTCTCCAGTTCTGCAAAATATTTTAACACCCCAGTACTTAAAAAGCCGTAAAAAATCACAGGGGAAACTATAATCTTATCCTTGGGTTCACTTCGGCTCTGTAGAAGGTTAGGGAAACATTACACTGGCGCTCTTGGGCCGAGCATCACTCTGGCTATAAAATACACAACAATTCACGAGAGGGAAACCACGGAGAGCCCCAAAGGTCTTCAATAACCAAAATAAAAACATACCCACGAGCTCTGCTACACATTTCAGCTGCCATAAACGAAAGCCCAGGATAATGGCTTAGGTGTAAATGGCGTTATTGAATGTGTTGAATTTTAAATGAGCAGTGGACAATGGCGTTCCTCCAAGTAGCACTTTAAAAATAAAACTGTTCAGCTGCACATGTAAAATGCTTTGGGTTATCCTCCCTAAACGGATAAATGGATGGATGGATGGATGGATGGATGGATGGATGGATGGATGGATGGATGTAAGGAATCTGTCCAAGGGATATCAGGTTTCAACCACATATATTCCAAATCGTACTCCAAAATTTAAGCTTAAACAAATTGCCCTTATAAAAAGTTGCTGAATTCACTAAGCCTGAATATGTGGCTTAGTGCCTTTTGTTTAGGGGTATTAGCTCGCCTTCTCTATGCGAATTGTAAAAGGACCAACATTTCCAAATACCCCCCTCGAATATTTTAGTTAGCACTTCAAAAAGGGGCCAGGTTTTATTGCTGTTAATTGGCTAAGATTCGCTTTTAAAAATGGAATCGTGATATCGATTGGGCTTTTATTCCTGGTTCTCTTTTCTCAGCGAGGCAAGCGGGAGCGGGGATGTGGGCTCGTTACCACGTGAATAATCCCCAAATGCATTGCAAACGCTCACAGCTCTGAAAAAGAATGTTTTACTCGTTGCATTAGCGTAAAAGACACAGAAAATGTTGAGAATCTGCAGAAATTGTTGTCCGGCCCAAGTACCGCGACGGTGCAGAAATAAAAGGGACAAAAGGAGCTAAACTACAAAAACAGGCAGGGAGCAAATCTCTACGTCTCCTAGTCTGGCAATGTTAGTTTTCATCTGGACACCAGGCTTCAAGGATGGAGGCCAGAACTGAGCCTAGGAAATAGCAATACCAAATAAAAGCCACAACCAGCCAGGTAATTTTGTGTGTGCGTGTGTGTCTGTGCATGTGTGTGCGCGTGTGTGCATTTTACCCAGCTTTCTTCCCCCCGACCTAAAGCGAAATCCAGTAACTGACAAGAAACACTGGAGAGAAAAGCTCAGCGACGCTTGCCCCGAGCCGGAGTGCCCACTTTGTGCCTTGCCTAAGCCAAACATCACATGCTTTCCTTGCCACCTACCACATGCCATTAGCAGAACACAAGACCAGTTTGAAATCATATCCCCAAATTCGTACCTTTATTATTATTATTATTATTGTTATTGTTATTATTATTAACATCTCCCTCTCGCGCGTTTCCCCTAAGGGAAGCCGCGTTAGCAGCACCAAGCACCCGCTGGGGCTGCCGCAGGGAGTGCCCAGCTGCGCTGCCATCGCCCCCTGCCCTGCCGGGGCCGCGGGGCCTGGGGCCGGCCAGGGCCGCCAGCGCGGAGCGGCGCTGAGCGGCGTGGAGCCCCGGCCCCGGCAACTGCGGGTACGACCGTACAAAGTAAAACTCTACCTGGCACGGACGGTGGATCTCTCCTCCTATATGGCGGGCGCCACCGCTTCTCTTTGGGGCTGTGACCGGCTGCAGAGAGTGTCCGAAACGGGGCTACACCGCGCTGGCAATTTAAGAAATAGGATTCAAGAAAGAGCTGTGATAAAACGTGAAAGTCTCTGGCATTCGACCGTTTTTCTGTTTGTTTGCTCGGTTTTTGTTGTTTCTTACCTCTGCCCGGCCAACCCTACACCCGCCCCCACCTCCCACCTCCTCCTGCGCGGCCCAGGAGCCAGGGGAGGAAAGTTTGGGAAGTGGCGGACAAAGGGAGCGGGGAGGGCCGAGCCCGGCCGGGCCGGGCGCGCTGGGGCTCCCGGCCGTGGGGAGCCGGCTCCCCTCCTGCCTGCCCAGCGGAAGAAGGCACGGTTGGGAAAGGGAAGAAGAAAAGCGCCTTATCCGCCTGTGGAAGCCGGGAGGCCGCGGCAGTGCCCGCGACCCGCCCGCCGCTGCCGCCGGCCCCGCCAGCCCCAGCTCGGCCCCTCCGGGGGCAACAAGTGGCCAAAGGCAGCGGCGACAGAGCCCCCGGAGCACCCCGCGTCCCCGGGAGGGACCTGGGAAGCAGCCTCTCACTCCGCGTTCCCGTCCCCCCGAAGGAGGCACAGGCAGTTATTCCGTTAAAGCTATCGTACTTTCTCTCTCTCTAT